CTCGACCATCAATAGAGACCAACATCGAAGAAACTACTCAACAATTAGTGAAAAGAAGATTCATACATTAATAGACAAGTATTGATAATGACTAATGGTACTTTATTCACAACAAAATTGGTAATTATCGTAAGCACAAAAGAAAATGACTGGTTAATTAGAAAAAAAAAACGTTCTTTACGCCAGTACCGTTCCCAATCAGACAAGAACGTCTCAATTAGTTGTACCCAACCGAGTCCAAATTAATGACGACAAAAACAAAATTAAACTTATATACGAGGTGTTTTCAAAATATTCTTATTTGTAGATGCTTTGTCGTTCCTAAATCATCTGTTAATACTGTGTTGTTAAGACTATATATTTTATCATGTTTCTCAATTCAGCTTGTTACTTGTCAGCTTATACTTCTTCTACCGTTTAGGGATTTATCTCTTCAGATTATGACCACTACGGCTTTCTCTAATGGTATCATTTCTATTTCCTTTCGTACACGTTAAAACACCGAAAATATTCGTACTCCTTTTGCGTCGCTGAGATTGATAATATAAACATTTCTGGTCTGTATATATTAATTTTAATTGCATTCTTTTTATGTTGATTCCGCTTAATATTGCGCGTCAAATAAATATCCACTTAGGTTGATGGGAGAAATATGCGGGGAGGCGAAGTGCGAGCGTTTTTGAAATATTATGAGCCCGCTGCCAGGGCAGTTGGTTTTGTTGTTTAGTCCGGACATTCTTCAAATTCGTTATTGTATGTGCGTTATACGTTTCTGTCATGGAAATTCAAGTATAAAGTGATAGTGTGGAGTTTAAGTTAGGGAGAGATTTGGATTTGGAAGAGATAGCTTTCGGGTATAGCTTCAAAGCCGGCAGTTTTTTTAATTTCAAAGGTGAATTTGTGCTCAAAATGCTAAATGGCAGTCTTTATTGAGGTAATCACCGATTTTTTTGTGCTGTGCCCTATTTGAGAGATTTGTAAGACGGTCTTTCCAACCAATTGAGAGTCCACATGTTTTAAAGAAGAAATTGAGTGGGGGAGTACAGTGTACAGAGAGTATAGATATATACCTTCAGCGTAGTTCCCGAAATTCTTATTAGTACTTCCATTTCCGCCGTTTTCAATAGCCTTTGTGTGGTTGATGTGATGCTTACTGCATCTCGAAAAGATGAAATGAAACAGTAGGTTCATGCTTCACACACACTCTCCAGTTCTTTTGAGAAGCGTTCCCAGTCCTCGTTTTTAATCTTTTTTACAAGGGTTTGTGTTTTATTACTTATTCTCTTGTAATCTTCATTCGCTTCGTTTTTTTTTTCTCTTAAATTTTTACATTTTGTATGACACGTGAAATATTACGTCGAATCACGTAAAATATCATGTTCTGCATAAAATTTCACAGTCTAAAATTTTTACGTTAAACACACTGTAACGTTTTACGAAATGTAATGTGTCAGGGAGTTCTGAGGAATTTGGATCGTGGATCTTATATTTTCTGCTGAAGATTTACATACGAAATGGGCCATTTTGACCCCGTAGTAACCTTGAGGCATAAAATAATTAAACATCTAAAAAGCAGATCATATAAAATCAAATGGAGTTGAATAAGGAAGGAATGTAACACAACAGTAACAAAAATAAATTTTATGGGAAAGAAACAAAAAAATAATGACTGACAGGACAAAAGAAGAAAGAAAGAATAACAAATATATCCTAAAGTAACTAAAAGTTAATAGACAAAAAAACTAATGGAAGAAAGAAAACTAATGACAAAAAACAGGAAAATATTAATAAAAGGAGTGAAAAATATCAATGATTGGCACTTTTTATTGTTTCATTGTCACATATAATCCTCATTTCTTTTATAATATTATATAAGTAGTTCTATAAGTATCTTTTCGTTAGATTTCCTGTGAAATCTTGTAAAAATTTAAAACTAAACGTCGTCTTAAGGCGATTTTTAAACTCGATTGACCTCGCCGTGGGTCCTTCTTACGCTGAAAGGCACCAGGTAGATGGACAACAGACGAGTCGTACCACTGATGGTACGTGATGGACGCTGCCCGCGCGGCAAACTTGTGCTCTTCCTTTTTTATCTTTTATCTTTCGACCTCAAAACTCGAGCACAGCCGCACACAGATCACGCATGGCATACACAACCTACACATCATTAACGACCTTAAGAATTTCAATTCGCTCTGTATATTATCTGTCAGGGTTTCGCCGACGTACATTTTTTTGCCTTTTAGGGCTTAGGGTCTATTGCGTAGTTGCTCGGCGTTTTTGTATTCAAGGTTCGATATCAACAAATGAAATTGACGGAATATTTGTGTGATATAAATGATTCTGGCGCAAAAAATTCCATGTAACTTTGGCGGTTTTAACCTAATATCAGTTATTATTATTTAAATTTAGTCCTATTTGGTATACTTTATAGTTTATTTTTATGAACGAGAGAGTAATTAGCATAATTTTAACTGGTACCTTCGACCACTCCATGGGCGTGCTCAAGATTAATTGAAAAATTACTTTGAATAATTGTAAAAAATAAATGAATTATTTCAGTGTTATAAAGTGTTATGTGTATGTAAACAAAAGTGACCTCTTTTATCACACACTATATTAGAACTGACTGGCCTACATTAAAAAGGGTTTTAAAAAATTCACATTTTTTTTTAATTTTTAAAAATTACAAAAGAGAAAAAGAGTTTTTAAAACCGTCTAAGGTATGTTAAATAGATGAATAAAAATATTAATATAAAACTTACAGCTACTTGTTACAAATCCAAATCAGATTCAGAAGATGAACTTTCAGAACCAAGATTTATAATAACTGGCTCGATCATTTTATCAGTAATATTGTCCAGCTTCCACATTTTTTCCTCTTCTTTAATAGTGTGATTTACTGCCTTTTCCCAGTTTTCAGGTTTTACATTATTTACGGCCTCCAAAAACAACTGTTTAACATCATGAATTTTAAAAGTGGTATTTTTTCTTGAAACTTCACTCTTTATCTGTGCCCATACCAGTTCAATCGGGTTTAATTCACAATGATATGGTGGGGATCTAAATAATGTCATTCCACGATTTTTGGCAATTTCATCAATTTCGTATTTTTTAAATTTTTCTTTATGAAGGGCACACAACGAATAAAGTTCCTTTCTTATAGATCCGGGATGGTACGTAATATTTTTTGAACTCAGCCAATTCTGCAAGTCTTTTTTTAACCACTTGGTTGTGGGCAGTCCTTCTATAAGTCTGGAGTGATAACTTGCATTATCCATTACTATTACACAGTTCTTAGGAAGAAGATCTATCATTTGTTCGAACCATTCTTGAAAGACATCAGCGTTCATGTCTTCATGGTAGTCACCGGTACGAGTTGATTCAAAAGTTAATAAACCACCTTCAACAAAACCGTCTGAACTGCCAATGTGTACTATTATCAGCCTGCGTCCCTTTCCTGATGGTGGGTTTAAACCAGTAGATAAGTTATTTACAAAAGCGTGCCTTTGACTTGTAACAGTTTCATCCTGCCAAAATTTATTTGGTGTATGACCCTCGTTGATCCATGTTTCATCAAGATAAAATATTTTTCTTTTTTGGTTTCTCATTTCCTTTATGGTTCTTAGAAAATGTCTTCTCCATATGACAATATCGCTTCTTTCTAATAAAATAGACTTTCTGGGATTCTTTTTCCAGCGGAAGCCTATTTCTTTTAAAAGTTTCCATAACGTACTTCGACTCATTTCTGGGTAATCCTTATCATCTCGAACTGAGACAAGAACTTTATCCAATGTTGGAAATTCTTGTCTAAAGAAGAATTCATCGCACTTTCCGTCGAAGTCCTTCTTTAAAATGATATTCTATTTGAAATTTTGGTTTCCCTGGAGCATTACGTGGCATTTGAAAACTACCACATTTCTCTTCTTTAATAACTCTGTAAATCGTAGATTTCCCAACACCAAGTGTACTGCTAACTAACTCAACGGTCTCATCAACACTTTCACATAAACGTTTGTCTGTAAATGATTTAAAACAATTAAATATTAATGTTTTTTCATTAACTGTTAAAGGACCAATTTTTCGGCATTTACACGGCACTTCCAAATTTTCCATAACACTAGTATACACAATAAACTGCACCTTGCAACTGAAGTACCTACTTTTAGTGAACTGTTAAGAATTTTGAATACGCCACTTGGACCTTCCTACAAAATGGAAAAACCCACTATCACATTTTCTGTGGAATAAGTTTAGAAGGTAATTATCTAGTCAATTACTGTCGTAGATTCCTGGAATTAAAGAATTAAATGTTTGATTGTTGAAACCCTTACTTCGTGGAATGCACTCATTTCAGATAAAATAAAACGTTTTATTTTATCTAAAGAATTAAACTTTATTTTGCAAATAGGTAGGTACTTATTAAACTTTTATTGGTTATATATAACCAATAAAATAAACATCTTACATTTCTTGCAAATTCATTAGTACCTGTTAACCTCCATCACTCCGACACTGGCAACCTTATTTAGGGATTAGTAACCCTCACAACTATTGTATTCTATTCTGCTCCAACCTTTATACCTGGTGGTCATACTCAATTTAAAATTGTTTTCCTATATACTTCTGTAAACTTGTTGACAAATATCTGTTTTTCATTGAGTCACCCGTATCAACAGTTTAGGGATTTGCATACATAATTTATTGTTTTATTACTCTCTCATACATAAAAATACACTATAAAATAACTTATTTTTTCAGGTTTTACTGGCACCCAGTGCGAAATAGACATCGACGAATGCAAAGAACGACCGTGCTTGAACGGAGGCACTTGCCACGATCTCATCAACAGTTTTAAGTGTACATGCGCAACAGGATTCACCGGTTCACGCTGTCAAATCAACATCGATGACTGCGCTTCGAGCCCTTGCCGCAACGGAGGCGTGTGCCATGACGGTATCGCCGCCTACACTTGCGAATGTCCTCCAGGATTTACGGGAATGTCATGCGAGACGAACATCAACGATTGTCTGTCTTCTCCTTGTCTTCACGGTAAGTAAAAAGTTTGGTTTTGCCCCGTATGTCATAATTGACATAAATTATTTTTTAGGAGAATGTATCGATGGCGAAAATTCTTTTACGTGCACATGCCATCCCGGATATGCAGGTGCTTTATGTCAACAACAGATCAACGAGTGCGAGTCGAATCCTTGTCAGTATGGGGGCCTTTGCCAGGATTTGGTAAACGGCTACCAATGTCTTTGCAAACCAGGCACTTCTGGACACAACTGTGAGATCAACGTCAACGAATGCTACAGCAATCCCTGCAGAAACGGAGCTAGATGTCTGGATGGAATCAATAGGTATGTGTTATATATTTTATTATCTATATTTGGAAAATCTGTATGGTAATAGTTATATCTCGCAATAAAAACAATATTTGAAATGTAAAAAAAATGTCCGGTTTCAAAAAGCTCTGTTGATTAAACAGTAAACTAATGAACTGTTAAGTTGAACATCCATTTGGATATTCTTACTATATTAACTTCAATATACAAAAAACTTAAGACCAATATTTAACAGTACTTCAGTTACGTTTCGAATTAACGGAGCTTGACCAGACCGATCACAAATGTAGAGTCTTAAAAAATCGTATTAATTTCTAAATTTTTTTCACGCCTTCAGAGGTTTCCCATATTATGAGCCGTAAGTGTTTTCTCTTTTATGATTGAACTATGAATGTTTGCATGATTTCCTGGTGTATATTTTTATTTTGATATGTCGTTAGCATGGTCTGTATACAAAGAAAAGAACCTTTTGAATCAGTCGACGATTCGGCATGCATTTTTTGTTAAATTAGATGTTTTCGTTTGACATTTACTCTTGAAGCTTTAGTAGAGGTTTGAATATTACAATCGAACTGATTCGGCCATACAGAAAAACTAATAAAGAAACCAAAATAGCTATAAATGAGCAGGCAAAAAAAAAGGAGTTGAAAGGATCTTCAGGGGAATCCGAATCATAAAAGTCGACGATGGACTATTTATACTTTTGGCCAGTAGTTTCAGAAGTGTAAAAACTCTTCAAAAAAATAATTTCATTCATTAGATTTGAAGCGGGTGATCTCATAAGCGTGAAATACCTAATGCTTCGCCATGTCTGTCCAAAAGTTTGAAAAAATTTGAAGTTAAATACAGAAAGATTGGACTCAGATGATGGCTACCTGAAACGATACCCCGTATGAACCGAAAGAAACAACTGAGTCTGTTTCAGAAACAATTTCTGGAATTAGTAGTACCAGATATATGGATTTGTGATTCAAAAACTATCACAAAACAAATAGATTCAACTGATCATTCAACAATTTCGCTCAAATTAAACGAAAACGTCTTTCGCTTGATACCAAATCATATCTTAAATTTGTTTTCTTCTTTTTCAGTTACACCTGCGAATGCCACCCCGGCTTCACCGGGCGCCACTGCGAAAACGACATCGACGAATGCTCTTCCAATCCTTGTGCAAACGGTGGCGTATGCATCGATCTCATCAACGGCTTCCGCTGCGAATGTCCTAGAGGCTATTTCGACGCAAGATGTCTCAGTGATGTCGATGAATGCAAATCCAACCCTTGCAAGCATGGAGGAAGCTGCGAAGACGGCGTCAACCAATTTATTTGTCATTGTCTCCCAGGATATGGTGGCAAACAGTGTGAAATCAACATCGATGAATGTGCCTCGAATCCTTGTCAACACGGAGGCAACTGCAGAGACCATTTGGCTTCTTACACCTGTGAATGTTTGCCCGGATATTCTGGAATAAACTGCGAATCTAACATCGACGACTGTGCAGTCAATCCATGCAAGAACGGAGGTAGCTGCATTGATTTAGTTAACGATTTCAAGTGCGTCTGTGAGCTGCCGTTCACTGGAAGAGAATGTCAAGACAGATTAGACCCTTGCCAGCCACATCTGTGTCAACACAACTCAAAATGTACTCCCAGCTCGAACTTTTTAGATTTCGCTTGCTCTTGTGGTGTAGGCTACACTGGAAGATTCTGCGAGCAAGATGTGGATGAGTGTATTGTATCGAAACCTTGTAGAAATGGAGCTACCTGTAGAAACACCAACGGAAGTTACATGTGCATGTGTATGCGGGGATATGAAGGAAAAGATTGTTCTATCAACACCGATGACTGTGCTTCATGTAAGTATAAATATTATTTGAAACCTTTTAAGTATCTTAGTGCTACAATCTGCTTTTAACTTACTGGGAGATAGAAACCCAGTTTTTCCATGTTGATTTTATTTTTGACCTATCTCAAACTGATGAGAACCAAAAAGCTTCAAATCATTTTTGATTATGTACATTTGACTTCTTAAAGTTGTTTACAGCGATCATGCTAAAGTAGTAAAGACTGTCGTCAAAGAATAGAATCGTTTTTAGATTGTTGAACATGTTTTTTTCTTTGCAGCCCCTTGTCAAAACGGAGGCACATGTTTGGACGAATTAGGTGACTTCGTGTGCCTTTGTATCAACGGTTTCGAAGGCAAACAGTGTGAAGTCGATATCGACGAATGCGCCTCACATCCTTGTCAAAATGGCGCCACTTGTAACCAGTACGTCGATTCTTACACGTGCACATGCCCACTAGGTTTCTCTGGTATTAACTGTCAAACGAACGATCAGGATTGTACTGAAAGCAGCTGTATGTATGGTGGTACCTGTATAGATGGAATCAACAGTTATGTTTGTACCTGTAAACCCGGGTAAGTACTCAAAAGTACCTCTCCAAATCCATTTTTTTATAACGTATCTCTTTTACAGCTATACTGGATCAAATTGTCAAAATCGCATCAACTTGTGCGACAGTTCACCTTGTCTGAACGGTGCCACCTGTCAAGACCATACCACCCATTACACTTGTCACTGTCCATTCGGATACACCGGCAAAAATTGTGGAGAATACGTAGATTGGTGTGCTACGAATCCTTGCGAAAATCATTCCACCTGCAGACAAAGTAAAAACCAATACTCTTGCACTTGCGGACCTGGATGGACGGGAAAGGTTTGTGATGTTGAGATGGTTAGTTGCAAAGATGCAGCTGCTAAAAAAGGTAAGAAAATTCTATAAAATCTACTTTAGAGAACAAATTTAGTTACTTACTTTGTTATACATTTACGTTACTTAAAAAACTGCTGTTTAACATTTGAAATATGGCAACGTCGATATCGAAGCGTCAAATATGACATCATCTGTCTAATTTGACGTTTTATTACTATATATGTATATTCAAAACGTTTTATTATAGGAGTTGTCTTTACATTGTTACATACAGTGAATGAAAAAAATGTAAAAGTAAGTAACTCGTATTTTTCGTTTACAGGAATCCATTGGAAATACTTGTGCAACAACGGTACATGCGAAACAATCGGTAATTCTCACAGATGTCACTGCAAAGAAGGCTACACAGGCTCCTATTGTCAAAAAGAGATAAACGAATGCGAAACCGCGCCTTGTCAAAACGGCGCTACTTGTAAAGATCTCATCGGATCGTACAGCTGTATTTGCCCCAAAGGCTTCCAAGGTCAAAATTGCGAATTAAACGTAGACGACTGTCAACCGAATCCTTGTCAAAACGGAGGCACTTGTCACGATTTAGTCGACAGTTTTCTTTGTTCGTGCCCTCCCGGAACTTTGGGCTACATTTGCGAGATTAACATCGACGACTGCAGAGCAGATTCTTGCCACAACAACGGCACGTGTATGGATAGAGTGGGAGGCTTCGAATGTAAGTGTCCTCCTGGTTTCGTTGGGCCTAGATGTGAAGGTGACATCAATGAATGCCTGTCCAATCCTTGCTCCAATCCAGGAACGTTAGATTGCGTACAATTGGTGAACAACTACCACTGCAACTGCAAAGCCGGCTTCATGGGTCGACATTGTGAGCGTAAAGTCGACGTTTGTGCTGCTAGTCCGTGTAGAAATGGAGGAATGTGTATACCAACCAACTCTGGGTACAACTGTACTTGTCCTGAAGGCTTCTGTGGTCGTTACTGCGAGTTAAATGGATACGACTGTGATTCTGAACCATGCAAGAACGGAGGGGTGTGCCACGTTTCCGAAATTGGAGGATATTTCTGCGAATGTCCAGAAACAACCACTGGGCCTAATTGTGAAATCGACCTGGTGAACGAATGCGACAGCAGTCCTTGTTTACATCCAAAAGCTGTCTGTGAAAACAAGATCGGTGATTATGTATGTTACTGTCCACCGAAACACGTCGGAAAAAATTGCGAAGTGTTTGATCGAAGCGCACCAGGAGGCATTGGAAAACCTGTGAGACAGTTGCAAGACTTTAACAGTTTTTACGCCATGGATTTAGAAAAGCAACGACAAGAATGTATTAGAAATAAATGTCCTATAAAACGAGGTAACATGCGTTGCGATGAAGAATGCAACACGTACGCTTGCGATTTTGATGGTAATGATTGTTCTTTGGGTATCAATCCATGGGCTAACTGTACCGCCCCCACCAAATGTTGGGAAGTATTTATGGATGGTACCTGCAATGAAGACTGCAACAATCCTCAGTGTTTGTTTGATGGAAGAGACTGTGAAAAGAAACTGCAAGCTTGCAACCCGATTTATGACGCTTACTGCCAAAAACATTACGCCAACGGTTACTGCGATTATGGATGTAACAACGCCGAATGCAACTGGGACGGTTTGGATTGCGAAAAAGAACCACCAGAACTAGCAGATGGAGTTATAACGATGGTGATTTTAATGGACATGGAAAGCTTTAAAAACAACTTGGTCGCTTTCTTGAGAGACACAAGTCACCAATTGCGAACCACCGTAAGAGTAAAGAAAGATCAGCTAGGAAATGATATGATTTATCCATGGATGGGATCAACACCAACAAACAACCTACAGGATGATTACTTCCGAAAGAAACATCATGTAGTGTTCTCAGAACAAGCACAAACTGGAGTCAAAGTATTTTTGGAGATAGACAATCGGAAGTGTGCATCGCTGGCAGAGAACTCAGACTTTTGCTTCCAAACAGCAAGCGCAGCTGCCGAATTCTTAGCTGCCAAAGCTTCCAAACACACCCTGTCCTCATCTTTTCCGATCTACCAAGTAAACGGCTCCACTGGCTTGGACCCGGATGAAAATCCACCTGCAAATGCCAAATACGTACTAATCGGGATATTAATGGTTATATGTCTGAGTGCACTCATTTTTGTGGTCATCCAGACTCAGAGAAAGCGTGCAGCTGGTATAACATGGTTCCCAGAAGGTTTCCTAAGAACAAATTCTGGCACCCGACGCAGATCCAGGCGGCGAGGCCCTGAAGGACAAGAACTACGCAATTTGAGCAAAAATCCTTCAATACCAGGAATGGACATTGATCCAAATGGACACCACGGTCATGTTCCTCAATGGTCAGACGATGAAAGCGATATGCCGCAACCGAAACGCTTCAGAGGCAACGATATGGGTTATTCCAGTGATCATACAGCTATAACTGAATATGAAGAGGCCGAACCACGCTGGACTCAACAACACTTAGATGCCGCCGACATAAGACCATCAGTCATGTTAACTCCTCCTCAAAGCAACGAAGTTGGTGATATCAACGCCAGAGGTCCTTGTGGTATGACTCCTATAATGGTAGCTGCCGTTCGTGGAGGAGGTATGGACACTGGAATAGAAGAAGACGACGACGATGGCGCCGGACAGATTATCCAAGATTTGGTAGCTCAAGGTGCTGAATTGAATGCTGCTATGGACAAAACTGGAGAGACTTCGTTGCATCTTGCTGCTAGGTAAGTTTTTAGTAAATAACTATACGACAGAAATAGTTAAAAGATCTTAAAAAGGCAATAATCAATCATTAAATCATGTCTAAGTCCTTTATTTTCCTTAATACTACAAAATTTTGACAAATAATTGTTTTACTTAATAAGAAATTTTAGATTTACTCAATACTTCCTAAATCTGTTTTACTCAATGTAATAAAATGCTGACAAGTGATTGCTATTCTAAGAGGTTGTATATTTTGTGAATGCTTTCGATCCCTATATAGATTCAACAAATCGCTGCAGAATACTTACAGAGTTTAATTTTAATTAATACAGCCTACTGACATTTTTCTATTCTTAATACTACAGAATGATGACAGATTATATTTCTATCAATGCTACAAATTCTTAGCAATTTCTGACAGATTCTAGTGCTAGCAATGTTAAAGAATGCTGACAGATTGTAGATTTACACAATACTTGCAAATTTCTACATAATGCTGACACATTATTTGACGAAATTTGGTGTAATTGTATTAACTAAATGTGTGTTAATTTCAGATATGCTAGAGCAGATGCAGCTAAGCGCCTCCTGGACCACGGAGCTGACGCTAACGCACAAGACAACACAGGCAGGACACCCCTACACGCAGCAGTAGCCGCTGACGCTTTGGGAGTGTTCCAAATACTCTTAAGAAACAGAGCTACCAACCTAAACGCCAGAATGCACGAAGGTACTACGCCTCTAATTTTAGCTGCTCGGCTAGCAATTGAGGGAATGGTGCAAGATCTCATCAGCGCAGAAGCCGATATCAACGCTGCGGATAATTCCGGCAAAACGGCGCTTCACTGGGCGGCTGCCGTCAACAACGTGGAGGCTGTTAATATATTGTTGGCGCATGGAGCCAACAGAGATGCTCAAGATGACAAGGTATGTAGAATTTATTTCACACTAATTACCTACAGATTATTTGATGTTTTTAATAAAGATCTGGACCCTTTCCATTGTTATTATCATTTCTTTGATTTTACTGATAAGTTCTACTAATACAGTACTATTTTTTACTATTAGAACAGTATCATCGAGATATCTAAGCTGCTTCACGTAATTTCGATAGTTTTGCTGCATCTTTCATTGTATATTACAATGTCGTCATAGCTACATCATTATTCAAAATATTTCAAAGTTCCCTGTGGCAAAAGAGTCTTTTGTCGAGGATGAAATTTTATTTAAATTTGTTGCTTCTGCATTTCAGGTATATTTTTTTCCGTTTTTTTTAATATTTTAAAACGGTTTTGGTTTCTGTCACTGCTTTTCAATTTAAAACAGTTTATTAGTGTGTGGTATTTCAGCAACTCTTTTAATTTTCACAATTGATACTCATACTCACTTTATTTATTAATAAACTGTAGCTCTTACTGTTTGGAATAGAGTACTGGATATGAAGGTGAAACCAAAAATTCTGGCTGTAGTAGTAAAAAAAGTAGTATTTCTTAGTGTACACTCCATCAAATTCAAAAAAATTTCCATTGGATACCCATGCATTAAGTGTGACCTAAAAGGGTCCTTCGTGAATCCCAGATGCTTAAATTGTACAATATTTTCGGCTGATTAAATTTCCTTTCTATTTTTTAGTATTTTTATTTAATCTTATTGCTGAATATTCTCGTTGCTTATTTTCTTAGCTTTTGAATAATTTTTGACAAACTTTACTTACCAGTTTTATTAATTTTTAGGACGAAACACCCCTGTTTCTTGCAGCTCGTGAAGGCTCATATCAAGCGTGCAAGGCTCTTCTAGAAGCGTACGCTAACAGAGAGATAACAGATCATATGGATAGATTGCCCAGAGATGTAGCAACGGAAAGACTGCATCACGATATCGTTCGATTACTCGATGAACATGTGCCTAGAAGTCCACAGATGGTTAGCGTTATTCCCAGCAATACTGTCATGAGTAAGTTTTACAAACACTGTAAAATTTGGAATTGTTATTTATTGTTAACTTTATTTTTAGCTTCTCCCACTGGACATATGCTTCAGCAACCAACAGTGATAATACCCAAACGTCAAAAGTCAAAGAGGCCAAGCAAAGCCAATGGTCCTACGAGTCCTGAGAACGACGGTGGCATGATGACCGTTGGCAGCATCCGCAGGAAACCCAGCGTGAAGAAAAACAACAAAAAAGTCCAACAAGCCGAAATGGCGCAAAATATCGACTCAGTCAATTCTACGTTGAGCCCTGTGGAGTCTCCAATGACAAACCTGCCGAGTCCTTACGATGCTACTTCATTATATTCGAATATGAACTTACCCCAAGGCTTGGAGAGTCTCATGGCAAACAAACAGCCACCCAGTTATGAAGATGTTGTGAAGAACAATCTTGGGTTTGCTCTTGATAATTACGCTGCAACCTTCAACTTATTCCCAGACGCCATGATCATGCAACAGAGGCAACTACAGGCGAATACCCTCAGTCCGCCATATTCCAACCAATCGCCGCCTCATTCCGTGCAATCTAACATGTCCTTGTCCCCTCAGGGATACAACGGGTCGCCGTCACCTGCCAAAACACGTCCATCTCTGCCCACAAGTCCCACTCATATGGCAGCGATGCGAGCGGCCACCAGAAGCCAGCAGCAAAAGCACGGTGGAGTTCCACAGGTGCAGAACCTACAAATGGGCTTCGATTTCAGCCAAACAGGCTTAGAGCTTCCTATGACTTACACCGGCTTAGCTAACACTTCCCACGCAACTCAGGCTCAACTACAGCCTCAACAATACCAACAACAAAACTATTTTTTAACGCCTCCGTCACAGCACTCGGATCACCTGCTGCCCGAGACCTTCCCCACGCCGAGTCCGGAGAGCCCGGGGCACTGGTCTTCGAGTTCTCCGCGGTCCTGTAACTCCGACTGGTCGGAGAATATCGCCAGTCCAAACACTTACGTATCCTCGGGACACCAGACGAACAAAAATGCTGATCCCGTATACATTTAGAGGCGTTTTTGCATCGGAAATACGGCGAAATAGGATAATCTTTATATTAGCTCAACCAAAATGTTTTACAAGTTATCAAATTTTATATACGTTTTTATTAGTAATTGAAACAGTTTCGCTGTGTTTCTGGGTAAACTTTTTGGGGGCTGCGTTGTGATCTTGTTAATTTTTTAGGTAGGTTTTTATTTAGCACAAAATAGCAGGTTGCGTCCTTTTATAAAACAGAAAAAAAGTAAATTTAACTAAATTAGTTCTTAACAAACTAGTACAACTTGACTAACATAATAATTTGACAACTTTCTTCCCACATTTTCGGCTTAATTATTCATAGAATTAATAATGTCTGTCTTATGTATTAAAATTGCAAATGTTTTTACATTATCACATCATGTTTCCAATCTTTGAGTCCCTTGCAACACTTGTGGCTAAATATTTTTATTATAAAATCGATAAATGTTTTATATTAGAAAACCGCCACTGAGCACGTGATTGTACAAAAGAGAATTGTCTTTTTAATATTATTGTCCCAGGAGCTCTCTTTTTCCATCCACTCCTGAATGTAGGTCTCTCCCAATTGCTTCCATCTTTCGCCAATCTAATCCACTGTTTACCTGCCACTGCTCTTATGTCATCTACCCATCTTTTTGAGGTCTTCCCATGCTTCTTGTTGTCGTCCTTGGTCTTCATTCTAGAATTCTCCTTGTCCACATGTTGTCATTATATTGGGCTACGTGACCTGCCCAGCGCCATTTCATTTTTATAATTTCTTCCACAATATCCCTAATCTTCGTTCTACGTCTTATCTCGGTGTTTCTAATCTTGTCTCTCAGTGATATTCCAAGCATGACTCGTTCCATTGCTCTTTGTGTTGTTTCTAATTTTTTAGCAGATTTGCCATACGCATATAAACGCCATATGAATTGAAACATTCTACCCGGTGAATTTTTCTATCAGTGTTCTTACAAGTGGTCTATGGTACTAAAATGTGTTCTGAATCCAGCCTGCTCGATAGGTTGATAGAAATCAAGCTTATGTGTTAGGCGGTTGGTTAAGATTTCCCCTTTCCCAGGGAGCATATAAAGATTTTTCACAATTTTGCTTACCTCGGATGTACCTTTTAGTGCTCTCAGATGCTTAAATGAGAAAGAACTTCAAATTAATATCTCGGTTATCAATTGTTTAACTATGTGTTCCATTTTTTATATTTCTTTACTATTATGCAGTATTTTTGGCATATATGTCAGATATTTTAGGTATTTTTTGAACTTCTGCGTTTCTTGTATGATTTTATTTGTACTTGTAATGTATTTGTCTAGCTTTTTGACTTTTAATCTTTTAACTTTTCTAAATTCATTTAGTTACAACTAAATATTTTCCAGTATTTTCCATATTTATCTTCAGTCTTTCTTGTGTAAGTCTATCTTTTATTTGCATATTATTAAAAATTTAATGAGACTTTTTCATATTTTCTCCATTTTCTACATTTTCTTCTATTGCAATTTATATGTATTTAGGCATTATGTTTTTCGTTTTTTCACTGTTACTACCACTTTTCTAACTGTTCAATTAGTTATATTAACAAAATCTCTACTTTTTAAAATTATTTTACTATCAGAACAGTATCATCAACATATCCAAAGTGTTGCACCAATTTTCGATAGTTTTTTCATGTTTTACATGATTTTATTTGGAATTTTACGTCTAAATACACATTGTTTGTGGATTTTAAATGCATTAGTTGTAGGTGCATTATTATCAAGTAACTTTCAACGTCCGCTGATGCAAATAGTCGTTATATACATCGAAAATAAAATTCCAACAGATTATTTTAGTCACTTAAGATTTTACTAGATTTTTGCACTTTTTAAATTATTTTACTATCAGAACATTATCATCAGTAGTTGTATCTATTCTCGATAGTTTTGCCATGTCTTACATGATTTATTTTGAATATTACATCTAAATACACATTGTTTGTGGATTTTTAATAACAGTTGTGGGTGCATCATTATCAAGTAACTTGCAAAGTCCACTGATGAAAATAGTCGTTATATACATCGAAAATAAAATTCCAACAGATTATTTTAGTTACTTTTCTGCCGAACTTGAGATTTTATTAGACTTTTGCACTTTTTAAAATTCTTTTACTATCAGAACAGTATCATCTTCATATCCAAAGTGTTGTATCTATTTTCGATAGTTTTGCCATGTTTTACATGATTTTATTTTGAATTTTACATCTAAATGCACATTGTTTGTAGATTTTAAATAATTTAGTTGTGGGTGCATCATTATCAAGTAACTTGCAAAGTCCACTGATGAGAATAGTCGTTATATACATCGAAAATAAAATTCCAACTGATTATTTTAGTCAATTTTTGGTCGAACTTAAGATTTTACTAGATTTTTGCACCAGCACTTCATCATTCCCATTTTTTTAATTCCTAACCTAACTTAACCTAACTCTTCGGTTTATAGAATCTTTTATACAACGTTTAACAAAATTTAGTTTATTTCTTGGCTGAATAATTTCATTTATTCTCTGTACACTGCTTTTTTCTGTATTTTAACTTTGTTTTTTCGTTTTTCTCTCACATAAATCAAATATAAACAATTTTGAGCATGTTGCACTTAATGATTAAATACAAAATTAAACATTTTTCTGTAGTAAAGGACGCAGCCTTTTGTAACTTGTGGTCTCAGTAATATTATACAGATTGTACTCTATTTTAAAAACAATATTTATTTTTGTCAATCTTAGGCCGTATATTTTATTATAATATACAAAAAAAATCAATCAATCCACTGTCGTGCCTTTGACGCGTTGTTACAAGTTAAAACATGTTTGTAATATTATATAGAATAGAAAGAATTCTATTTTGTACATATTTTAAGTAGCTATATTCTTGTTAGCATAGTTTTATAGACGAACTAGTTTTTTGTAACATTTCAGAGACAAATCGTATGTGAAGAAAAATATTTTGTATCATATTTTACAATTTTCAGCAGATTTATAGGTGTAGTATGTTTCAGCGTTTTTGACATGGCTTTTAGCACAGCAAAAGCTTTTTAAATTGCCAATTTTCTCTCACGGAGAGATATTGTACAATGTTGTGCATGGAACTTTGTTAAAACAGCTACCAGAACTACCTTTTTATGTTCTATCCCTCATTTCTTATGAATTTATGACAAATTTTCCGTAAACAGTCTCCCTATTTATTTATTTTCAATGATGTGCTGACACCTAGGTCAAAAACACTGAAATATTATGTTTAAAATATACAATATATTCAACACAGGGGTCAACATTACTTACCAATCACACACTGATAGTCTACAATACATGAACTTAGGAGTCGCATATAAAGAATGATAAGCCTTAAGAATGTCGTGGCGGACAAATTTTTCTGATCGATTTTCATTTAAGTTGCGATGAAAAATGTAAATTTGATATAAATAGTGTAAAATTTTTGTCTGTCAACATGTTCAAATATGTAAAAATATAATTATGCTCATTTTATGATTACTTGACGCTTTCAAACAAAAACGCCCGAATTTTAAGACCGAAGAAATACCGTGACGGACAAATTTTTATATCCAGAAAATTTATCGAAAAAATAGTGACTTTTTCTTGGAGACAGTCTTAAAAGAAGTGGAAAGGCTGAAGAAAATATTGACATTATGAAAATGGGGCATTTAGGCGGTGGTGTCCTCGTAATTGATGCTCCAAAATTTTTGTCCGCTAATATTTTCCTCAGCTTTTCCACTTTTTTCTGGAGGAAAATTTTCCGGCTATAAAAATTTGTCCGTCGCGGTATTCTTAGGTCTTAAAACTGGGGCGTTTTTGTTTGAGACGTCGTTAAAAGCGTCAAGTGATCATAAAATGAACACAAATATTTTTTTACATGTTTGAACATGTTGACGGACAAAAATTTTGTCCGTCCTATTAATAATTGGATCATTAATAATCGGGGAAATTGACATATTAGGGTGTCCAACACGCTTTATGTCCCAAAATTTTTGTCCGTCAACATAGTCCTCCCGTTTTACATACACTGGTCACATTATTAATAGTTGTCGCTCAATTGACACTTTTCACAGCATCTCAAAAGGACTTTTCAGATTTTTCCGCCTTAAAAAATTTGTCCGTCATGACATACTAAGCAATTTTCAAAATGAGAGCTGTTTTTTGTTCGACTCTTTAGATTTAAAAACAGTAAACTGTGAATTATTTATCAAGGGATGTGTTTTGACGGTTTTCTTAGATTTTGCCTTGTTTTGATCTTAATTGGTCTTACCTTTACTATTTTGACTTGAATTTTTCAATGTCTAAGTCTTAGTTGGTCTTATCCTTAAGTACTATTTTTACTTAATTATTTACTTCGGCTCACTTTTCAATTTCTTCTTTATTTCTACTACTAAGGCAGTATCGTCTAAGATTTTTCCAGTATTTTTCAGTAATTTTTATTTTTCTGTGTGGTTTTATCTTGGAGTTTGCATTTTCTACTCAGTATTTGATATTTTTAATAAATATCTGAGTATTTTGCCTTTTTACTATTATTTTTTGACTTCATTATGCAATTCTACAGTATTTTACTATTAGAACAGTAGATATACTCGACATGTCTAAATTTAATGTTTTTCTCATATTGTTTCTTTTCCCACATTTTCTTTTTCTTGTAATTTGACAATAATTCCTGTTTTTGCCCTAGTTTTGACTTTTTTACTCATTGTTTGATGTTTTTAATAAAGATCTGAGCATTTTTCATTGTTATTACCACTTATTGGCTTCATTATGCAGTTTTATTGACACAAATTTTGTTATTAGAACACTATCTTCGATATGTCTAAGGGATTTCATGTATTTCTCATATTTTGTTCCTTTTCCTATATTTTTTATCATTATTTGGGAAATATTTCCTATTTTTGTCCTACATTTGTACCTTAAGCACCTAAATTCATTATTTAGTTGTGACAACTCGTTTTCCTCTTTGTTTTTA